TCTAATAGCAGAAAGAAAAAAAAAAAAATTCTTTTTTAGTTTGATAAATTATCCTTATCAGTTTCTGTTTTGGAAATGCTAATGCAAAAATTTTCCTTGACATACCCCCAGTTTAGCTTATAGTGACAACAACAACAACAACAACAATAAGACGACGAAGAAGAAGAAGAATAATAATAATCAATCAAAAAGGAGAGCAAAAATAAAAGATTTTTTCTTTCTTTTTTTTTTGTCTGATAAAAATACTATAAAAGGAATGTGAAACAAAACAGTTGCCAAACAAATTAAGCACCAGCAGCAGCAGCATTTATTTGTGCTTTGCTGCTGAAACTTATCCCCGGGACGTCTACAATAGGAAAAATTCTGCTTTTTTCTTTGCTTTTTTTCTCTTCATAAATATTATAGACGAAATCAAAATATTCATCAATTTTGGAGACAAATTTTTTTTTTTTTCTTTTCAACTACTTTCAGCTAAAATCTACCTGTAAAAATGAAATGAAATTCTAGAATTTATTTTCTGCTACTGGGTTACTGTTTGTTGTTGTTGTTAATCTGATGTTAATTAATTAATCACTTTAATTTATTCAACTAAAAAATTACTCTAATAAACTATAAACTGAAGTCTACAGTAGTCTTAAAATTTCGAAAAAAAAGTTTTATTTATTTCCTTACAAAAACAATTATTTATTTATTTATTTGCTTATAAAAATTGTAAGGTTTTTTTTTTTGCGCTATTGTTGAATACGAAAAATATTTTTTTGGAACATTTATTCTTAACATCAAATTTGAAGTGCATCAAATTTACAGGTGAAAATATGAGTACAAAAATTACAACTATTATAGCATCAGTTATTGAAACTACAACTGCTACATGGTTTGATCTACATGACTTTAGAGTAAGGATTTTTTTTTTTTTTTTTGCTTATAAAATTTTGCTTTATTGTCTTTATTAGACTGTGTAAAATTGAACTACAAGTTTAGTGCAAATATAATGGTAGCTTAAATTCTAGACACACGTTCTATGGGCATTAATTGTTGGTGTTGTACTGGCTTTTATCCTTGGCTTTGCAATGGGTGCCAATGATGTTTCAAATGCATTTGGAACATCTGCTGGAAGTGGTGTTTTATCGTTACGTCAAGTCTACATATTGGCAACAATTTTTGAAACTTTAGGAGCTATTCTAGTTGGTAGGTAACAAAAACATTGCTGCTACTGTATCGGCATTCAAATGTCTAACGATATTTAGTTTTTGCAAATAATTTCTTTGCAGGATACAACGTAACGGATACAATGCGAAAAAATGTGGTGGACGTTGCACTGTATAACAATACACCAAAAGTGCTGTTTGTTGGACAAACTGCAATACTTGGAGGTAAATAGAACCAATTTGATTTGGTATATTTAACATTGTCAGTGAAGTGATATAACAACGATAACAATGTTAAAAATTGATATGATTTGTAGATGATATTATTGAAAAAAAAAGCATATTTTTTTTTTTT